ATGTTTTCCCAAGACTGTATTAGAAGTACAAATATTGTTTATTCTCAGCAAAAAAATTCAATTAAGAGAAGAACACAGCACATTCCAATTATATAATACCTCAGGCTTCCTATGACTCACTCAAACCTATTGGCTCCAAGTATACTGATGGGTTTAATGAAGCATCACAACGTAAGCAAGAGTAGACGAGATGCCACAGCGGTCACATCTAAATGTTTTGTGGATTCCCTATAGTCTTTACACTGGCAGTTCACATTAACTGATTCTCAAACCGTAGTCTAGAATCTAGATTACCTGCAAATATAGCAGATCTGTTTTGAATCAGAGCTTAATGTATGCAGTCAAAGTGCAGGAATAAAATGCAGGCAATTCATCCACAGAAAAAGATTCTGGAAATTACTAGCAATTTGAAAGGAATATTCCACTTTAAAAATTGGAATGTTAAGTACTTTACAGATAATTTGACTTTAATGCCTGGGGTTTAAGCATATTCACAAACTGAACTTCTTGACTTACATCAAACCATTGGTCCTGGCTTTTCAGGGGTTCCTTATTGTGTTCACCATGGGAGGCAGTTGAGGAAAAGAGTGAGGAGATAATCCTGTCCCTGGCGCTGCTGGTGATGAACTAGGGTATCTGTTGCCAAGTCAAACCTCTCCTCCAGAGCAAATTGGCTGTGCCGGAAGGCCTCTAGGGGTGAGACATTGGAGTGGATGCAACTTCTTTCTTAAGATTCACTCCCAGGCTATCATTGAGGCCTTACCTAGTAGCAGATGGTGTGATGGGGCTGCCCTCACCCGACCTCCATGGCACAGAATTGCTGCCGCTTACTGAGAAGAAGCAGAGGACCAAGTTGGTAGGGAGGTCAGTGCAGTGCGCACACACATGTGGCACCCAATCAGTGTTTCTGCTGCTGTGTTTGCACTGTGCTAATCTTGCCAATGCCCATCCCCTCCCCTCTCTTTCCTGATAAGCAGCAGAAATTCAGCCACCTGGAGGTCAGGTAAGTCCCACCACCCCACCATGCTGTCCACTACTGGTCTTATCTAGAACTCCAGCACTGGAGTAATTGACTTCTCCACACAAACATGCTTGTCAATTCTATGGACAAAGGTTAGCACCACTGGTTGGTGGGACTTTGGTTGCCACCCATCAGTTTTGGGAGACAATGGTAAAGTGCTCCTTCAGGGCTGAAGTCAAACTGTTGAAGAGCTACAGTACCTGCTGTGGCTGTAGAGACCGATATGTGAGAGACATGTTTTGCTGCAGTTGTGGCAGATGAAGGCATCCAGTTGTGCTCTCTGCACCCCTCCCAGCACTCAGTGATCCTCTAGACACTGCTGTGGCTGCATGATTTGGCTGATGGGGCTAGGAAGAAATTTTATGTGCACTCATGAGCCAGCTTCTAAAGATTTTTTTACCATAGAGCACTTGAAAATTGTTGTAGAAATTGTTGTGCATTGGGCTGGATGCTGGATGGTTTTTATTGTATTTGCATTGCTTCTTATAATAGAATCATAGAATTGTATGGTTGGAAAGGGACCCCAAGGGTCATCTAGTCCAACCCCCTGCAATGCAGGAATCACAGCTAAATAATCCCTGACAGGTGGTCATTCAACCTCTGTTTAAAAAGCTCCAGTGAATGAAAGTCCACTACCTGTTCCACTGTCAAACAACTCTTACCATCAGAAAGTTGTTCCTAAAGTACTCCACAAAGTGGCACTAGGCAGAGAGAGCAAATATAGACTTATTTTGTATGTAGGAGTAAGAAAAGGATGAAAAGGCCCCTTTTGTGAGGTGAAAAATTGAAAGAGCCTCTGAGGTTTGGCCTATGTAGCAAAAGGGATGCCACTTTCAGTAAAAATAATAATTGAAAGTTCACCCATTAGTGTAAATAGGGTGTCATCCTCTAGAGTCCCAGTTTTCAATTCCCCCTGCTTATCTTGAGTCAGCGGATGAGGTAAAACTGAAAACAGTCTTAGATTTACAGAACGCAAACATACCTTTCCTTCAGCAAGAGCCGTCAACAGATTCACAGTAGATCTATCCATTCTAGCAGATCAGAGCAACAAGCAGAAGTGTATTAAGCAGCCACTTGTAGATAAATCAAAATTCGCACACCACACTCTTCTATAAATATCTAATTCAAAACCTAGAGTGACGTCAAGCAATAATACATCCTGACAAATGCTAGTCAATTCAGGTGACGAAGTATATGCCTGAATGAGAGCAAGTCTTTGGACATTTTGAATTTTTGACTCATAGCTGAACCGCCACAAGATTGCATTAAACATGATGGATTCACTGCCTCTGGGCGCAGTTTTATTGCTCAGAAACTCTCTTGCTGTGTAAAAGCAAAGTGGAACAATCCTATTCCAGATTCCAGCCTTTTCATGAAATATCAATACAATAATTTACATTATGTTCAGAACAAGACTGTGCCTTAAGTCCCTAATCCTGAGAACTGAGATCCATTTAACAAAAGCATTGTCTTATTCTGCCAGGGCTTTAGAATGATTCATATATGACAAAAACTACACAAAAAGCACCTACCCACATGGGTACTTCATGAGACAGTATTGTACTTAAAAGATTTAAACTCCATGCTTTGGTCTACATTAGGGTTGCCATATCTCAAGAAACGAAAAACCAGACACAGAGGTTGTTGAGCTTTCTTGGCAAAATCACAAAAATTATGTTTTTCAGCTATTGGGGGTGGGGAGGGCCAAAGTGACATTACCGACATGGGTTGCCATATATCTGGATTTTCCAAAACATTTTGCCGATTTCCAACAAGACACTGCTTCCAACTGCAGTATTCTGGGTATGTCTGGGAAATTCTGGGGATTCTGGCACCTTCATTACATATCTTAGGTGCCAGGAGAAAATGTTTCTCTATAACCAGGCCTTTGGCTGATTAACATTCTATGTCCTTGTAAATGTGCTTGTGGGAATGGGTTTATCGGTTTGTTTTTATTTTATTGTGTATTTTGTATTCCCATTTTGTTTGTTTTTTCAGTTGTGAACTGCGCTGTGATCTTCGGATGAAGGGCGATATACAAATTTAATAAATAATAATAATGGCGATGCAGGAGAGATCCAAGACCCAAACAAATTTGAGGGATTTTGCACAGTCATGCAGTCAAATTGGGGGGGGGGGTAGATGTACTTCCCACTTCTGACCACATGTTTAATTACCACAGCAACCATTCCAGTCTTCTGCAATTCATTGGTCAGTGCCCAGCAGTTCCTCTTTCTGCTCCTCCTGTGCCAAATCTCTTCTGGTTCACAGGACATGCCACTTGCTACTTGGTTGTTAGAGGAGAGATTAAAATTAAGCCATCATGAACAGTCTTCTGGGAGAGCGTGCTGGCTGTTCCTTAGCAACACGCCATTTTTTCTGTCCTGCTGCCTCATTAGAAGGTGGCAGTTCTGCTCTGTGTCAGTCATGTGAGCATGCTTTCTCAGACAAGCAGAGGGCTTAGGGAAAGAGATATGGGGTGATGGGAACATTTTCACTATATGCACTACTGGAAGACCAAGGGATAGGAACAGTGCTTAATAGTACCCTGATATGGCCAGGGGATTATGTTACACTCTTATTAAAGGCACAGTTATGGATGCCAGTTGAAAAGCTAGCAACCCCAGTGAGAAATCAGTGGGACTAGGGGAGGTTTCAAGCATATAATGCATTGTTGAGAAGGCTGGGGGAGAAGATCTCCCCGGGTGGACCTGATGTGATCCAAGGCTGTCTCAACCTGATCCAGCCAAACCATGGGTTGACCCAAATCTGCCTGATTTCATTTGGGATCTGGGATCCAGTTGGCTCCCATGCACAGCCCTAATAGATGCCATCTATTATGGAGAGCACAGTTATTTTGTATGGCATCGTCACTCAGTGGTCCAGCACATACACAAGGTCCCAGCAGGGGTGTAGTTTGGTAACCTTTGGTAATATGGTGCCTTGAGCAAGGCTAAAATTTGGCAACCCAAATGGATTTTCTCCATTATGGATCTTCTCAATTTTGTACCCCCTTCCCCACACAACCCAATATCCAGCACTAGTCCCAGATTCAACCCATGGTATCTTCAGTTAAAAGGGGTAGGTATCTGGTGGTGTGAAGTCCTGCAAAGCCACAACTAGTCAGCAGTAGACAACATTGGTGTTGATTGACAAAAATACTCACCTGGTATAAGGTATGTCCACCATGCAGTAATTTATGAAAGGGAAGACAATCCTTTTTTAAGCTTCCCATTTCCTTGTAATCTAAAGGGAAAGAAATGGAATTTGTATATATGTGCCCTTCATAATCAATGCTTTGTGTTGGTGTCATGATGCACGCACGCACACACACACAGCAGAGGTTGGATGCTCATCTGTCATAGATGCGTTCATTGAGATTCCTGCACGGCGAGGGGTTGGAATAGATGCTCCTTAGGATCCCTTCCACCTCTACAATTTTGAGATTCTATGACATACATGCACACATTCTTCAGCCTCATTACCTGTAAACAAGCACTATCATCAGATGGATGCAGCGTGAAGATTTGCAGTGGTTGGAATGTACGTGCTGCTTGCTTTTAATGAGACTTAGTCACTCTGCACATTTTGTGGCTTCTGTTCATCACAGAGGATATGTTGGTTAGTGTTAATAAATTGAATATAACAAGTATGTTGCACATCCACTGTCAATTTCCTACTTGCAGCAGTTTTATTTTCTTTAGTTCTGAATGTGACTGAGACAATCATTATTTGTTTTTTACACGTCTCACAAGTATATACTGAGTAAGACAACCACTGCAATTAAAAATCATAACGGTTAACAAACAGTGTACAGTAGTACCTCGGGTTACAGACGCTTCAGGTTACAGACGCTTCAGGTTACAGACTCCGCTAACCCAGAAATAGTACCTCGGGTTAAGAACTTTGCTTCAGGATGAGAACCAAAATCACATGGAGGCGGCGCAGCAGCAGCGGGAGGCCCCATTAGCTAAAGTGGTACCTCAGGTTAAGAACAGTTTCAGGTTAAGAACGGACCTCCAGAATGAATTAAGTTCTTAACCCGAGGTACCACTGTACTTAGGAGGGCTCAGTAAAGTCTTGTTGTCATGCATGATTCTATATGTGACACAATTGGCTTATTTTCAGACATAAGAGAAGAGTTGAGATTCTGCCATTGAATGGCATAATAATGTTCAAACCCTATATAACTGATACGAGCTTACATCATGTTACACAAGTTGAAGAAAATGTCCGGTATTGCCTGGTTGGTTGTTTTACAAGCTGATCTCATTCATTTATAAAGACAGTAGCAACACACCGTTTATATATCACATCTGTAGTTTTCACATACATTATCCTTATATCTCTGCAAGGCAGGTAAATACTGTTATTTCTGTGTTGCAGGTGTGACGCAGAGCTGAAAGAGAATCAATTTTCTAAGCTCACCTGTTGAGTTCATGGCAGCGATGTCTTGATTCAGGGCCCAGCTGCTGTGCTCCAAACCTCCTCATCTTTCTGGCCCATCACAATCTAACTATAAAGAAGCCTGCTTTTCAATAATTTGAACTAGTTTATGTCCTGCAAATCAAGCTACTATTAATGTTAGAGAATGGAAGTTTCCCTGGTATTCTATCCAGGGGTTTCTCCCTGTCACTTGTCCAGTGAACCTGGAAGTAGCAAGAATATGGAACACTAGTTTAAAGATGATGTTAACTTTATAGTGAGACCAAATATTGAGGTCACTTTTAACACATTTGCAAGGGTGGTGCATTTGTTGAACATTCAGCAACAATATGGTGACTGGTGATGGGTAAGAGGTGAAGCTCAGTGGTCACTTTTGCAGAGCTATTTGCCCACCAAGCTGTTGCCTTCATGACATCATGCTGAAATCTGTTCCAACGTGGCCCCAAGTTGGACTGATCTGGCACCACAAAGGTGGTATCTGAAATAACTCTGGAAAGAACCTCTCGATCTAATATTTCATTCCTCCATGAAAAATGGACACCATTTTAATTGCTTTTGCTGTAGACATCTTTGTTCACTTTTGCATTTTGTTTGTTGGATTAATGACAGAACAGGTGCCACAGATAGTATCTTGGACAGAATCTGAATTCTGTCTCCCAGCTCAAAAGTATTTCAGTGCTGAATCTTGAAATCTCATTTCCAACCCCCAAACCCAATGCCTGTATTTGCAGAATCTTTAGTTAAATGGTTTCAAGGAAGTACATGGTCTGCGGCTGTAAATGTGTGGAATTTCTTCTGGTTATAAAGCCTCTCCTCTGGGTCAGAGAATACCAGTGCCACATGCAATTGTTACGCATCAGATCTTTTTAGAAGACAATATTTTATTCCACATTTTTCAGATGAGCATATAAATCTAACATTAAGTAGTGGAATCCCAAGATATTCTATAATAAAAGATCCCTAATTAGAATACTGTCAGACAGGGTTGATATTATATATATATATATATATATATATATATATATATATATATATTCGTTCTACTATGGGAGTAGGTCTCAGTTTAGATGCAGAGCATGATAACATAATTTGTTACACTGTAGAAAGTTGTCTATACTGCTGGCGCCTCTGCCTTGCTCGCTGTCTGTTCCGCCGAAGTGACAGGCTAATGGGCTGTTTCCCAAATTTCTCCATGATCTCTTTGATTCGGGCCAAGTTGGTTTTGCTGATGGTGAAGTCACACCGGGTCGCACCCATGTCATAACCCACAGCACAGTTTTTGGTGGCAGCAGTATAGCCCTCTGCTTTTGCAGTGACGACGTATTCTCCAGGGTTTAGAAGGCGCCAGTAATCTCCATCACTTGCTGTTGAAGAAGGAAATAACAAATATTGTGATACATTTTTGTTTAGCCTTAACTTCCATCTTTCTATTTAGTATCAAGGAGCTTATCCATCCTTGCATGTGAAATTATTGCTCTAGGATGGGGATTGGTATAGGAAAAACCTTAATTATCTCCAAGACTGGTCGCTTGTAACCTTGGGGATTTAGCTACCATTTTCATGTTCTAGTTATATAGGCTTGAGTTATTCAATTTATTCAATTTATTGTAACCTTGGGGATTTAGCTACCATTTTCATGTTCTAGTTATATAGGCTTGAGTTATTCAATTTATTGTTTCAAATTTGTAATGCTGGGGAGTCCAGTCTATATTTTGTACCAGTCCACCTAGGTTTGCAACAGCTGCAGTCAAAGTTTCACCCAATAGCTTTAGAACCAAGACTGGGGCAGCTGGGGACATGGATCTCTGGTGTGGTTTTCCTCATGTTTGTTTGAGTTTGTTCTAAATAAATAATTTTGGTCACCGTCCTTTGTGTCAAGACTACATCTTCCAATAGTTTTCCTTCCCCAAGGAAGTTCTAACTAGCCTTTAGGAGCCATTTTCATCTGATGGAAAGAACACTGGAGACTTATGGCATCTTTGTAATAACCTGAAAATATACAGGTTGAAGAATAACTTAAGGCTTGCAGATACTAACACACAGGTAGTGTGAGGAAAACAGCAACATCATTCCCTCAAAATCAACCTCCACAATGCAACAGAAAGGATGAAGAGGAGTGTACAAGTTTTAATAATAATAATAATAATAATAATAATAATAATAATAAATTATTTCCTACTCCACTGTTAGCAATGGAGGAGTAGGTAGATAGAACTGGATGTCACTGATCAGTAGTTCTGGAGATTCGTTTTTCCAAAAGTCAAGAAAAAAACGGGTTCTGTTTGAAGAATCCGAAGAAAAAAAGGAAAGATCCAATGCTCTGCACTGCATTTCATCTGATAATAGATTCTAGCATCCTTCAATAGGAAATGTAGAAGAAGACTCTGTATGATTAGTAAAAATGTGAATTACAAGAAACATGTAACACTGGGTGCGTTCACATTACCACTTATTCCACATCCAGTGCACTCCCACTGCTAGTTTTTAAAGCTGCATTCACACAACTTTAGCCACAATCATATGGACCCTGTAGTTTATCAACAACTACTGCTGTCTGATGCACTTTTCCTCTCAAACCAGATTCAATCTGACTAGAAAACCTAAGCTGCATTCGCTTTATATTGACAGCTGCCACACATGCACAAAGAGCAGCTTCACGAATAGGAGTTCCAGGGGGGGTTGCAGGGGCAGGGAAGCCAAAAAGGTCAGGTGCATCAGGAGAAGACATCCCTGCCCCCTCTTTGATGTAAGCAACACCATGCAAATGCAGCTTCAAATTCAGCGGGGGGGACGGGACTTTGCTGTCTTTTAAGCCACTGATGTGAACATAGCCACCAGTACAGTGTTTATGTCTCATTCTATCCTTCCACAATAGTGATTCTTCTGCCTGGGAAATGAAAGCGCATGATTAAACTTTGTTTCAAACCCATTGATTCCAATGAGACTCAATTGGCTGAAATCTAAATATTGTGAACTGGGCTGCTAATTAGCAGGCTGGGAACCTGTTGTGGGTCACAGCAACACACATACACACACAGGGGTTCTTTTGGGGTGGACTTAGTACAGTATATGCATGATTTAACTACCATGAGCTTTGCTCATTTAAGAGAATGTTAACTGTTAGAAAATAAGATAAATTATTGCATATGAGGACCTTATCTGTGCATCCTGCAGAGTCTCCTTTATTTTTCTGAGTGCATAATAGGAACACAGGAAGCTACCTTATACTGGGTCCGACCGTGGGTTCAGCTATCTAAGTATTGTCTACAGTCTGGCAGTGGCTTTCCATGGTTTTAGGCTTCCATGGTCTGAAGATGCCAGGGATCAAACCTTTGACATTCTGCATAAAAGTCAAGTTCGCTACTACTGAGCTGCCTTTTCTCCCAACACTTAATACAAGCTGCACTTCTTCTGGAGGGGTTGCCATCAAAATACTAGCTTACAAGGGAAAGAGGTAGGCAAATATTTGAACATATTTTCAAGTTTCCTATAAACAATTCCTATAAAGAATGTAGAAAGTCTCTTGCAGTTGACATTTCTTGCACGATGCAGGGCATTTCGAAAGGTAAATTGCCTGCACTTTGTTTTGAAGTATTGTCAACATGCTGAATCTGGGTTATTCCCTGTGAAGCCAGTGACTTCTCCTGCAGATTACCTGTAGCCCGCTGAGAGCCTTTCTCCATGTTTCTGAGCATGTAATGCTACATAAAAACATAAATACACAAAACAGCTCCCTGTTTTCACACTAATGCAAAATGACACCATTACTATTATTTGTCTTGCCCGTGGGTAACTTACAATGCCCTGAAATACTATACTAAAAAGACAAGTTACATTAATGGAATGCATGTTGATCATTGTTGGACTGGTTCTGCTCATATTTAAGAGGATATGATTTGTGCCCCAGAAGATAAGTGGGTCATGAGTAGCACACACACACAAAAAGCTTAAGCCTAACCTAACCAGCAAATGGGGACGCGAGTGGCGCTGTGGGTAAAACCTCAGTGCCTAGGACTTGCCGATCCTATCGCCGTCGGTTCGAATCCCTGCGGCGGGGTGAGCTCCCGTCGTTCGGTCCCAGCTCCTGCCCACCTAGCAGTTCGAAAGCACCCCTAAGTGCAAGTAGATAAATAGGTACCGCTTTATAGCGGGAAGGTAAACGGCGTTTCCGTGTGCTGAGCTGATGCCGGCTCGCCAGAGCAGCTTCGTCACGCTGGCCACGTGACCCGGAAGTGTCTCCGGACAGCGCTGGCCCCCGGCCTCTTAAATGAGATGGGCGCACAACCCTAGAATCGGACACGACTGGCCCGAAAAAGGGGCAGGGGTACCTTTAACCAGCAAATATCCAAGGTAACTTCTCCACCACTTCCTGTGAGCAGCTGAGAGTTGAGACTAAACCATCTATACTATAGCAGTGAACCTGAAACACCTTGGCAAATTATACTAAATTGTTGAAATGCGATAGAACACACAGAGCAGGCTGATTGGTATTCAGCTCGCCTCACTTTTCATACTGACCCTCAAAACCTATTTGCTTAAGAATGGCATACAGCAAGCAGGTAAACATTCCAAACAAAGCTTGCCGAAAGATTTGATACCTGAAGCACAAGGGTTTTGTTTCCAGATTAAAACTGGAGGCACATGCCAGTCTTCCACTTGGAAAATAATCTAGGTATTTTTTTGATCTGCAGCAACTGGCAAACGTTCTGCCTCCACCCCCAATTTCTCTCAGTAGGTTAGTTATCCTGCCCTCTTTTATTTTTCTAGTCTGGGCTTCAGGAAGAGACTTTGCTTTCTGGGCAACAGTGATGCTTCTGAGATAGTGATATACATAGCAACTGTAAATATAGGCTGCCTCAGGGAATGCTCGACTTCCTCCCTTGCTATGGTGTCACAAACTCTACACTGTCGAAAGGAGGGTGTCAAGAAAGCCTGGTTTTGCTGTTCACTGAGTTCAATGGGTTCTACTTCTGAGTAGACATGCATAGGATTGAACTGTAAAGATATGCTTCATTTTTAAAATCAACAACAACAAAGCAAAACCTGATTTTTCCAGACAGTAGATAACTGACATGCATACTTAGACAAGTTATTTTATGCCATATGGCACAAAATATGGCTCCATCATGCAGCAGCCTTGGCCCTGTATACTTGAAGGAGTGTCTCCACCCACATCATTCTGCCCAGACACTGAGGTCCAGCTCCAAGGGTCTTCAGGTGGTTCCCTCACTGCAAGAAGTGAAGTTACAGGGACCCAGGCAGAGAGCCTTCTCAGCACTGGCACCCACCAGCTTCCCAATCAGATGTAAAGGAGATTAACAACTACACCACTTTCTGAACACATCTGCAGGAATCCCTGTTCTTTGATGCTTGATGTTTTGCTGTGCTTTTATTATGTTGGAAGCTGCCCAGAGTGGTTGGGGCAACCCAGTCAGATGGGCAAGGTAATAATAATAATAATAATAATAATAATAATAATAATAATAATAATTATTGTATACCACCCTTCATCCATAGTTCTCAGGGTGGTTCCCAACATAAAAATACAAGATAAAAACAAAACAAAATCCATAACAAAAATAGGAACTAGAATAAACCAATACCTCCCCCCATTGCGATGTTAGGTGGGCAGCTCCACCAACATGACAAATTTAGACCACAACAATGCTGTGCAGATGTTGTACCAAAGCCCATGCTCAACTCAACAAAGTGCCTCATTAATAAAGTTGCCAGCTAATTAACTTGGCATTGTGTGTTCCAGTCATCCTTTCACCCTTCTCTTGTGACACAGAGGCATGCAATTACCTGTGCGAATGTCGTGGTTAACGCCTTCTACAGAAATAATAGCATTTGGAATCCCCTTGCCATGTAGATCCCTCACCATGCCTTTAATGCCTCGGTGCACCTGTCAGTAGAAGTAAGTACATGGAAGTGAAAAATTAGGCACTGATAGAAAAAGAGAAGACATGCCAGTCATGATGAACCAAATGATGTCAACTAAATCATAGAGAATGGTCTTTTTGCATGATATATATGCTGTTCCAAAACTATGTAATTCACGTCAGGCCAAAAGCTTGAAAAGAAACATATGCTCTTAGAAAAAAGAAACAAATAAAGCAATGAATGTCAGAGGTGCCCATGAATGATATTTTACTGGACGTTTATGAATGAGATCATTTTCTACCAGTATTGGGTGGTGCCATATTTCCAGCATCAAACATGACATGGATCTTGTGGGGTAGATTCAGTTGGTATTTATTGACTGCGTGTGTTTATGCTTTTTTCTCCTTCAAAATATGACACACTACAAATGTTATTAAAATGATATCTACTAAAGCACATAAAAATCATCCCCAAAAGTGTATTTAGCACAAGCACACACAAACTTGGAAAAAGACCATAGCTCAGAAACAGAGCAATTGCTTTGCATGCAGAAGCTCTCAGATACAATCCATGGCATCTCCCAGTAGGGCTGGGAAGGCCCATCCCCAACCAAAATCCCAAAGAGCTGCTGCCAATGGACTGACTTGATGTAAGCCAACTTCCTATGTTCCTAAACTCCTCCCATAGCAAGGAATTACATCACCTTGAATGCCCATTAAAGCTTTGTTTTAAAACCTTCAGCGAAGGGCTCAGATGGAACGGGATAGGCAAGTTGCTCCACAGCCTTGGTACCATGACCCAAAAGACAGTGTTTCCTTCTTTCACACAGTCCTCCTCCCCTGGATATCTCACATGGCACGACATGACCACTCTTTATGACAGGCAAAATGCCGCAAAGCATTTAGCACCTGCACACAGCGACTTGGTTTGCATGATATGCATATCGTTCAAGAACCTTCCCATGGCCTCTTGAGCATGCTGTCGGATAGATAGGAGATGGCTCTAGCAAGACTGCATTAAATAATTCAAGCACCCAACACGACCTGTGCACCTGGTGGCCATTGGTATTTATATAATTTATATAAGAAGGGTGAAGGTTATATGTAGATGGGCAGCAAAGATAAAAGCAGTGCAGGTACGTCATGTGGGGGAAAGAGTTGCTGATGTGTAGAAAAAGAGGAAGGCAAAGTTAATGTTGAGGACACATGCATAGGTAAGTAGAGTCTCACAGAATTTTCAGCACAAAAAAATTCCTTCCAGTAGCACCTTAAAGACCAACTAAGTTAGTTCTTGGTATGAGCTTTCGTGTGCATGCACACTTCTTCAGATACCACGAAAGCTCATACCAAGAACTAACTTAGTTGGTCTTTAAGGTGCTACTGGAAGGATTTTTTTTGTTTTGACTATGGCAGACCTATATGGCTACCTATCTGTAACTAGAATTTTCAGCAGTCATTGCTTATCCAAATGTACTTTGCATCTCATCCAAATCCACCTTTAATAGCATAAGGAGAAAATCAAAGACCCTGTATTTTGTTTACATTTAGAAACATGTTCTGGTGGCATGAGATTCATGGAGATGGCAACATGTACGTATGTCTATTTCTGACATGTATGTATGTCTATGTCTACTTCTCTCAGAAAGAGACACATACATTACCAATACTATATTGCAGTTATTTCTGTTCTAAGATAGGGAAATGGTGACCCATGTTTTTCAAAAGCAACGGTGAAAGCTCTAAGTCTTGGATCCAGTGCTGCCATCTTGCTCACGTATCAGACTTCTACTTGTGCAATGTAACTTCCTCTTCACCCCTGCAGCCTCCGAACACCTTCTAAATATGCTCTGAAGCTGATTCTGGGGACACACCGGGGGTGGAGAGGAAGTGGAATTCCCATTGCATGAGTGGAGCTCCATTTGCACATCACTGGACACAACCTCAAGTTTCACGGGGCAGGCCCCAGGGAAGTGATTTGTTTTGACTTTTCGGAACGTGATGTGCCAGATGTATACCTTTCTGTTCTGAGTTAGTGGAGCCTGACCTAGATTTTGACTCAACTGCCAGTGTCTTTGGAAAGACTTTGCATTCTGCTCTCCCCCTTGATAATCTTATAGGCAAGTAATAGAAAACAGTGAGTTGTGGTAACCAGATGTAAAACACCCCAATTAAAGAAAAGGAATTCACTTGGAACAGATCTAGATTTGAATCAGCCCAAGTGTTCTTATTTCATACCTGCTCCATGAAAACAATAAGGGACTCCCTGTTATTTTCCCACTCTTCAGGTAATTCACTTTCGTGGGGATATTTATCACAGCCAACATATATGGATAGTTCAAAACAATTTGTATGTAGGTAGCTGAAGTCATTTATACCTGTCAATGCAATGAAAAGAACAAATAAAAATAATGTAATAAAAAATAAAATACAGCTTTTATTTAATCTAGGAACCAGACACAATCATTTTAAATAATTAAATTTCCCTAATAGTTGTGTTAAAATAGATTCGATAAAAAAGCTTTTATGGAAATGCATGCATTTTGTAATGATATCAATAATTTAATTAAAATGAACTCATAAAACATTCTGCCAGTAAAATGTGAAGATTTATATTCATTTTTTAAAATATAACAGACATCTTGAAATTTAGCCTGGCCTTGTATTCTGTCGGGGCTTCAGAATCTGGATGGACTTCCAGGAACTTTTTAGAAAGTCATGAATTTTAAGATGGCAATGTTACAAAAGTCTTCAGTTTCAAAAGTCTTGACATGCATGTGATTAAATTGTAAATATTATTACTTTCTCATCCAAAGAGGATAATGTCAGGCCACCACAACTTAGTCTGCAGGTCTTCAGGATGTTAAATGGTTGGTTAAAAAAAAAGTACATTGTTGCAGAACACTTGTTACTCTCAAACTGAAATTAATTTATAAATATTATTCACAAAAATGCAACTAAATTGCTGATGACATAGGTATGTGTACTATTCTTTAAACAGTTGTTACTATATCTGGGAAATTCATTTATTATTATGATTTTGCATGCATATATATATATGTAGTTTTGTCTCTATTTTTCTTACCAGGAATAGGAATACTTTGTTCGTGAGCAAACTGAATTTCAAATTATATGGCAAGTTTTAAGCTTATAGATGAATTTTAATTGTTTTAATTCATTTACTTTATAATGACCAAATATAGAGGAACATGGATGGAACTAAGTGAAGAGAGGGTGGGGGGCAGGAAAATATTACTATACAGCTGCTACCGAGCACTTAATGAGCCTGAAAACACCTTCTTGTTTCTCTGTAGGAGGATTATGTAATGCAGATGTTAAGCTTGTCGATAGGGAAAGATTAAAATATCACAGTGTCGGGTTCTGCTGCTATGCTAAAGCTTTTCTCCTTCCCAATTAAGAGTAAGAAACATTTTTACTCAGTCTGAATTAATATTTTTCCAAAGATGCTTTATCTACAAAGTTTCATTCAGTTTTTTAGACTGTCCTAACCCGGAGATAGGGACGCGGGTGGCACTGTGGGTTAAATCACAGAGCCTAGGACTTGCCGATCAAAAGGTTGGTGGTTCGAATCCCCACGACGGGGTGAGCTCCTGTTGCGCGGTCCCTGCTCCTCCCAACCTAGCAGTTCGAAAGCATGTCAAAGTGCAAGTAGATAAATAGGTACCGCTCGGGTGGGAAGATAAACGGCATTTCCATGCACTGCTCTGGTTCGCCAGAAGCGGCTTAGTCATGCTGGCCACATGACCCAGAAGCTGTACGCCGGCTCCCTTGGCCAATAAAGCGAGATGAGCGCCACAACCCCGCAACTGGACCTAATGGTCAGGGGTCCCTTTACCTTTCTTTAACCCAGAGATGGGGTACCTCTGATCCTCCCAGTGTTGTGGGACTACATCCCCTATCATCCCTGACCATCCTTCTCAACCTGATGGGAGTTGAAGTCTAGCATCATCTAGAGCAGGGTTCCCCAAACCTCAGTTTCCAGCTGTTTTGGACTACAACTCCCATCATCCCTACCTAGCAGGACCAGTGGTCAGGGATGATGGGAACTGTAGTCCAAAACAGAGGGAGACCCAAGTTTGGGAAACCTGATCCAGTGGCGGAGCAAGCTGCATGGGCAGCTTGGATAAACGTTACTGCTCAGAAGATCATAAGTAAAATGTAGCAGGAATTCTGTGAAGTACTGTAATAGAGTCAGATATTTATTGAACACATGCTGTGTAAAAGCTGCTCTCATTCAATTAACACCTTTTAGCTAATTCCACTTTATGTTCATTAATCTGAGACAATTCCTCTTGTATGTCAAGAGTAAGTAGATGGAATTTTAAGTCAATATTTGAGGATCATCATCACACAATGATCCAAAACTTATCATTGCATTAGGATGCGTATTATTATTATTATTATTATTATTATTTAAAAAAACATCAGAGTATAATATAGCTGTAAAAAATGAATTTGATGAACTAAATCCAAAGCAATAATTGCTGCTAAGAAACCAGGTAGTACTTATTTTTGTGGTTAAAGCCCTAGCATGCTGGATCAATTCATTATCAAGTTTGCACAGCACTTAAAAAAATGAAAGTCATAAATTAATGAAGCAGTCAATTCTGAATTTAAAATGCATATTGTATGGGGGGGGGAAATAGGACATGTATTGGGCCAACTTATTCAAATGTTGTTGTTTTTATCCTGTACCACAAACATATGAAACTATCTCCATTTCCTGAGTTCAAAGAGTTTTTGCAGACAGCAAAAGAAATATTCTGCATGCTGGCATGTGAATCGTTACGTCCAGGCCAAGATTAACTTCATGTGGTCCAATGCAAATATTATAAAATTAGCTTCCAAGTTGTACACTGTTTGTTCAGTGAAAGCGCAGCTTGTAGCAACGAAACAGGCCAACCAAAGGACTGCAGGAACTGTTATCCTTATTACTGCTAAAGGTACAATGCTATGGAGCCATTCATTACTCTGTGCCCAACACACATAATTCGCTTGAGGTGTTTTTAGCTTGTTTTTACCAAGGTTCATCTTGATGAGATTCATGCCAAGCAAATGTTCAAGCAGGAGCTTTGAAAGCAACTGAGATCTTGCCCACCCTGAATCCTCTACTTTGCACACAATATCCATGGAAGCCAGTTAGTAGTCTCATGTGCTTCTAATTGGGTACCCAACTGATCTGTAGGTAAAGGCATAACAGAACATCTCTTCTCTCTTTCGCTGTTAGGCGGAAACAAGAGAGTTGGATGTGACTGATCATTTCTGGTCTCTGAGTACATCACAAGGACACTCCAGGAGAGCACAAGGGATGGAGAGGCCTTTATACCCAACACAGAAGCATTCTTCTCCCGCTCATATCCCAAAATATATTAAATGCCTTCCAGAATGATGATGCAGTTAGAATTCATCAATATATTATTCTTTTCTTAATATAAGATAACTGAATATTTATTTACTGATAGCAAAAGCAGGTGCATATGTGCAGCTAGTTGTTGGGTACATGATTTTCAATGTATTGTCAGGTTTCAAGAAGAGAGTTTTCTTCCCAGACTTGTATGTGTTAGTTATATCATTTAATGCTTTAAACACCAAATTCCTCGACTGCAAGGCAAGATTATATTGGGCAAAAGATTCCTGCATTGCAGGGTTTAGATTGGTGACCCTCGGGGTCCCTTCCAACTCTACAATTCTATGATTCTATAATGCACTTGTACTTTGGATCCCAAACGCCCTGGAACTTGGACGTTTTGGCTCCCATATGGCCCAAACCTGGAAGTGATTGTTCCAGTTTGTGAACATTCTTTTGAAACCCGAACATCTGACGGGGCTTCTGCAGCTTCTGAATGGCTGCAGGAGCTTCCTGCAGCCAATCAGAAGCTGCAATTTGGTTTTCAAACATTTTGGAAGTTGAAACAGACTTCCAGAACGGATTCCGTTCAACTTCCAAGATATGACTGTAATTAGAGAAGAAATAAACTGCAGTAGTGTACACCTAAGGCAAATAGCTACTGATCCCTGAATATATGGCTTATCAACTAGGTACTTTAGGGCTTAGCTATATATTACATTAATTGCAAGGTTTGTGGCCATATGTAGGAACCTTTTTTAAAATCATCATCAATCATCATCATCCTAGGTGCATTCCTCCTCCTTGATTTCTATCAGGACTGGAGCAAGTAATGATGGGAGATTTGACTCTTCCATCTCCCACAATGATTCAGTTGGAAATTAGTCCCACACCGTAAGTAGTGGTTGAAAAACATCAACAACTTCCCACTGTCGCAAATGGGACCTTTTTTATAGAGATAATTGCAGCATTTGCCACTGTAAATGGGGGAAAGATTCCATTGGGATTGTGGTTAAGGAGAAAAGGATTAAACATCACCCTCTCTACATGGCAGTTGTGATGCAAAATGAGCCCCCGCACCTTGAATGAACCTTGCGACTTGGTTGCAAGTCACATGGTTAACATGTAGCCAAGCCCTTAGTTTCATATCAATTGCCGGTTGTTTAAACAGATGCATAGTTCCTACTCTATTAAATCGCTTTGACAGGTACCATTTAAATTCGTTGCACTATAAAGGCAGAGTAGTATGCACAGCTGTGGAGATCAGCAACAGAAACCAAAACCTCCGTGGTGAAAATCTGACAGCTCTGCATCAATCCAGGATGCATTGTGAAACACAAAGAGGAAAAGTTAGTAAAGTATTGTTTCTGCGCTGCGTAGGTGGGTGACAGCCATTCAATTTAAGTTAAGGTGCTAGAACAAATAGTATAGGCGGCCTTCTTTATTTTTGAAAGTTTAGGGGTGTTCTGCTTTACAGACACTTACTTCCTGCAACAGTATGCCATGAAGCTCCATTTACAGTCCCGTCTTCCTTCTGGAAGTCCTCCGTATGGCACACTCTCCGGCGAGCGTCTGTCATCAGCCGATGGGTGGAGGCATAAGAATATGCCAGCCACCTAAAAACATGGTCATCTGGGGTAGGCGTGTGCTCCTGGGTTTTCCACGTCGACCGGACCATATCATAGGGGTAGGCAACAACAAGTTCTCCACCTTGTAAGTTGCCCCCAAGCACAAAAGGGTTTTTCTCCATCCAGGCAATCACTGCTCGTGTTTCAACTGCTACCTGGGAAGTGAAGGAAGAAAAATAAAATCAGTTCAAGAGGTATGAGAAACTCATCTTGGAACAATTGCCACATTTATTTATTTTTTAAACCAAAGGCATTTTAAAACAAATGGCAGCCATTTCTAGCACATCTACAGAAGAAGAAAGTAGTCCCAGTTTAAACACTGTAGTTTCTTGGCCCATTGAGGGGTGTAAATGGGAGAGGTATGGATGGGAGAGAGTCCCAAGGGCCAGATAGGGAAACATGGATGGCTGCATTTGACCTGCTTTAAACCATTTCAAACACAGAAGGTGAGTTTCCTTCCCAGTAGCACTGATCCTACTCACTGTAGCGTTTTCAGACAGGTACCATTCTGGTATTGGTATGTGATGATTTGGGACCTTTCTCATAACCCTTTTACGATCTTCAGATTCCCAAAGCAGAGTATTTAAGTCAGGGAAGTTATTGTTGATGTCAATGCCATCTTGAGTCCATCTTCCTAAAGACCAGCCTCCTAATTCTGAACCCTGTAACAAATTAGGTTAGGTTGTGTTATAGTGACAAACTCTGTGTGCCTTTCTTATAGTAATAAAACAAGCCTCCTGAATGCCTACGATTATGGCAGACGCTGCTGCGTTTTCAGGACCTTGGTGATGAAGTTGTATTCCCCTTTTCTAGAAAGCTCACATTCCTCTAAAACAATTTTTATGGCACTCCTGTTTCCTTTGTATCTCACTACATGGCTTATGGCTAAAGATTGTGGTTTGCTGAGTGGAGATTTATAAAAGCTGAAGCTGAATAATATTCAGAGAAAACACTAATTAATTTGTAGAAAGAATCAGTGCTGAGCCATAATTTTTTTAAAAAATTACTCTGGTGCAATAAAGCATTGTTTATATACAGCTTCAGTTATTAACTTAATTACAAGCAGGAGAAGAAATAAATTCAATATCACTTAACTGCAAAAATCTATCTCAAGACTCTCTTTATTGCTTCTCCTGACCACTCTTTTAAATTGCACAATATGCCACCAAGGCACTTTTAGGTCTTAAGAAATGTTGGTGCTTTGATCAAGATGTCACATTAAGTGAATTACTGGAAGAAAGGCAAGTCGAGGAGGTAATATCAAATCAGAGCCGAAACAAAGTCTCTCAAAGTTTCAGGGTGTTCGTATTTTGAAAACTGAATTTTGGTGTGGACATTCTACCTTAAAATATGACGCTGGAAATTCGGGTTCTAAATTTGGCACCAGAAATCACACATTCTGCTTATTTAAATAAAGTCATAATATAACATTAACCAAATTCTGTTGCATGCCACCTATCAAATATTGTAAGGTGCTGATGCCAGTATTTTCCCCTGCATTGCACTCCCTTAAAACATTATCAGAATGGCATTGTATTTGACTGCCCATGAACAGGATGAAGAAAGGTAGGGTGGGGAACATTTCAACTCAACCCTGTTTATGACCACTATCGTGTATTCTTGTAGTATCTATAATCTCATACTTCTTGAAACTGTATCAACATTTTTCGCTCTATAAGATGCACTTTTCCCCTCCTAAAAAGTAAGGGGAAATGTGTGTGCATCTTATGGAGCGAATGCAGACGGGAGGCTCTGTCAGCGCTCCCTTTAAAGAGCCGCTTGGAGCTGCCCTTCTCCCTCCTCGGGGAAAAGCCCCCAAGAGCCGCACACATGCTCTGCATGCTCTTTAAAGGGAGTGCGGCTCTTGGGGGAGCCTTAGCGGTGCGCAGCCTCTCCCAGGCAGGGGATGAAGGCTCCCCTTGCCCGGGAGAGGCTGCGCGCGGCTAAAGAGGAAGCCACCAAATAGCAGGAAACAATCTTCTGACTTAAAACTCCAACTGAAAGTTCTACGATGCCCATGTTTCTATGCCTCAAAAGGCAGCATGTGTCTTTTCTATTAATCGATCAGCTGCATCCCAGCGCAGTTCTTCCTTACCACTTCGTAGGCCTTTTCATATCCATCTGGGTTGATTGAAGGAAGAAGGTGGATTCTGGTATCCTTAATGAGGCGTACAATACGTGGGTTCCCAGCCAGATATTCCTGGCACATAAATTGCATTAACAAAAGCAGTAACTCGCGTCCCAGCACCTCATTCCCATGAGCCCCTGCCATGTACCGAAATTCTGGCTCACCTGTTCAAAAAACAAAGGAAGATGTGAGCACACCAAAAACAGAATCCAACTAAGGTAATGGGATTTGGAGGGTCTGGCACAGAAGGAAGACACAACAAAACTTGGTATATTCCAGCATATCATTCATGATAGGGGCAGGAAACTTCATGGCCAAGAAACAAATCCAGTCCCTAATAGTTTTATAACCAGCAAAGCTATGTTTCCAAGGAAACATCATCTCCCAAGCGTATCTCGGTGACTTTTCTCTAAATGTGCAATGGAGGCAAAGGGGTCTCTTTAATTCCCTCTCCTGCGCTTTGGACAGCAGGAGATAAGCTTTAGAAGAGTCATCCCTTATTACATATATCAGCTGCTATTTCCAATGCATAAGGAGAGATCTGTCAATTTTGATTTCCCTCAGCTTCACATTTTCTCAATCTTAAACAGTTCTCCATATTTCCCTATCGGTTTGCGATTATTATTGCAAATTTCAGCGCAAATTAGCACGAATTTCTTCTAATGGAATTGTCTCTGTATACATTTGTCCCCAATATGCAATTTTTTGCAAAACATTTTCTCCCAATATAATGCTTTTTGTGTGTGTTATTTTCCTAAATATATGCATTTTTATGCACACTTTTAGTCTGTGCACTTTTGTACACATTACTTGGCTAGAGGACTGCACTGCAAAATTCAGAGAATAGCAAATTTCAAAGGCTGGCTGTGTTTTGGTTGGCATATTGTTTCACAAAGGGCAAATTAGGTGGGTTCAGCTTTAAATGCAAGCAGAATCAGGTTTCTCACCCACCCCTGTGCACAAGACAGGGAAATTTCTGTGTGGTAAAAATTGAGCCCACTAAAGCCTCCGCTGCTCTTCACATGGAGGAACAGGCTAAAGGCTGTTTGTTGGTAAGTCAATTGGCAGACAGTGTTGCTGCCTTGCACAGTCAAAATTGTTGCTGACTAGGACCACAAACTCTTTCTCTCCACATTTATGTATTCCCCCTACATGATTATGCAGTTTGAACCACCACAAAGTACACAAATACTGGGGCAAATGTTTTCTTCTTACATCACTTAACAATTTGGTAACTAATAACTACCTTATTATCATTAATACTTTTTTAACTATCGTACAATATGACCAGCAAACATTCATAATCTAGATTTTATTTATTAGTCTACAAAACTGCCAAGTTACCTTATACAGTGTGTGTGTATGTCTGTATATATGCACAGAAAATTCATTAAAATATGTGATTATCTCGAACCATGAAGTCAACCATATTCATGAATATATGTATGTGCATATATAATAGAATTTCTCAGTTCAGAGCGCTAAACTTGAAAAAATCACATTAAGCAATCATCTCTCTCTTTTCTCTCTCTCTCTGATGATACAAGTTCTCTATGAAAAATATTTGGAGGGGCAAGGAAAGGCTAGGATACTTTAATCAGTTGGTGTAGCCATATTTGAAATATCAATCCTGTCAATGGTAATTCTGTTTTGGCTAGGCTGGGAGAGAGAACACAGGTAAATGCTTTTGCTTCCAAGAGTGGAACCACAAGTCATTTCCTTGTTACAGGACTGACCTACATTTGTTGTCTACACAGGAGACAAATACACCAACATTACTACTTTTCACATATTTGATATACCTTTGTTCAAAGGCAGAACGAAACATGATGTTATTAAAAAAAATAGCCCTTCTATGCTGATCTGTTTTCAATCAAAAGCAGAAATTGGGGTGGGGTGGCTCAGAACCATAACCTGGTAGGATGGTGTTTAACACCATGGTTCTGATCAAAATCTGGCAGCCCCATATTTGCTATATGCAATTAGAGGGAAGCTTCCATTGGGACCATGCAGCATAAAAGTGTAACATTACGAAGGCCCTCGGATACACAGAAATTGTTAACCAGATTGTCTTCTAGCTCTTGCTGTCTATTCTGACAATGACTGTCAGTGCATACTTTTCATCATTAAAGTTGGCTCCATTTTTTTATTATTGCAAAAGAAGAATATATGATTAGCATAAAGGAGTTTGATCCCACTCTTTGGATGGCTTCTATTTATATTCCTCTTCTTCTCTAATTAGAAGAAGTATAATCAAAATTCCTCCCACATGTACTCAACACCATGACTGCTTGTAGGCACATGCCTCCACTGCGAAGTGCTGCAGACATGTGGAATGTTAAAAATTTAAACATTCTAAACCACTTCATCCACCAGTCCGCCAGCCGGGATTTTATCTGGTCAGAATATATCGTCCTAACCAACTTCGTGTTCTCCTGGGTTGTCTGAGATTTCAACAGCATACAGCTTTAGCCCTTGGTGGCTTTTCCCAATATTGTAAATTCTTGTGATATTTGGACACATCTCATTCACCACTTTCATCAGCTGTAAAATAATCAAAGAAAGAAAGACATTTGTACAAATTAACGAGAGGTGTGATATAGATAAAAGCGTGTACCTCACCCCATGATTGTTTCCATGTTGTAAGACGTGGGGACAATGAGTATCACAGATAGCACTCGACAGGGATGGGAAACTAGTAGCCCTACAGATGCTGAGAGACTCTGTTGCCCAACATCCTTGACTATAAGCCATGTTGGCTGAGGCTGATGGGAGCTGGAATTCAACTTAATCTGAGAGGGGTGCGGGTTCCCCAGAGCTTGAGGCAGTATGCAATTAAAAAAATCGCCCTCTGGTGTAGGATTGTGTTTAATGTCTATGAAAATGAAATAATTATGTAAAAGGGAGGAATAGTCTAATAAGAAGGTTTTAACGTTATTCAAGAAACTTTGTGCTTTGTTGATTAATCATACAGGTGCTGCTTTGGGGCTTCCCATAAGCATCTGGTTGGCCACTGTGATAACAGAATTTGGACTAGATGGGCTATTGGCCTGATCCAGCCAGCTCTTCTCATGTTCTCTTACCACTTTTTCTGGGTTGATTCTTAGCTAATAGACTAAATATGGGGTTGGTTGGGCTGTGTGTATAGTATATACAACAGTTTCCACCATGTGTGTACTCCATAGAACAATTTCTCCAGTTTGAAAATGTACCCACAGGGCCAAAATGTGGGTGACATTTTGACATGGGTGATATATAGATATATGATGTTTAAATTAAATGACAATAGCAATTGTTTGGTCTTATGGTAAAATGACTTTTCCTCCCCCCCCCCCCCGAAATGCAGTAAATAAGAGAAAGCAATTTTTTTGCCTTATTTCCCTCTCGTTTTCAAAGCTGTGCAGTACAAATTGCATATTTGGCAATGTGATGTGTTAATGCCTGCCTCCCCCCTCCACCTTTTGCTTGTGTTTGCAGAAAGAGAGAAGCCTCTGATAATATGCAGTCAAAGCTATTAACAACCAGAAGACTATAAATCATGCCCAGAGTAAATTTGCTAATAGACAATTATTATGAGTTGTATGCAGCAATTATTTCTTCTATTAACTTTCTGGCAAAAAAGCTGCATAAATTCCCTCAGAGAACCCATTAGTTTCAATCTCAGCTCATGCGGTGCCCAAGGCTGCAGAAGGATTTTGAGAGCAAATCTAAGCCAGTTGTCGCAACCTTTGAGGAGAATGTAGTGCTGTGGGGCCAATTTATGACGAATTCTCTTTCAGGTTGTTGACTAGGTCCTTAGCCAGACTCATTCCATATATTTATCTCTTTCTCTTTCAAGAAGCCCAACATTATCTGTTACAAACCATATGAGACTAATGCAGAGATCATTTCAATATCTCTTCCCTGCAACATGCAGCACATGCTGACATTCAATTGTGGTCGCAAAACACAAGACGGCTTCTCTTGGCTCAGGGTTTCTTTTTCATTTTTGTTATGACAATTTATTTAGATATACAGTGGGAAACTGTTTGGTGTCCACCCCCCACATTGCATTGCTTCCTGGAACCTGCACACAGACTACAACAAGTCTATGAAACAGACCTACTAAACCTATATTCACAATTGCCTGGAAGTAAGTAGCTGTGGGTTAAACCACAGAGCCTAGGAGTTGCCGATCAGAAGGTCAGCAGTTCGAATCCCCACAACGGGGTGAGCTCCCGTTGCTCAGTCCCTGCTCCTGCCAAGCTAGCAGTTCAAAGCACCTCAAAGTGCAAGCAGATAAATAGGTATCACTCTGGCGGGAAGGTAAACGGCGTTTCCGTGCGCTGCTCTGGTTCGCCAGAAGCGGCTTAGTCATGCTGGCCACATGACCCGGAAGCTGTACGCCGGCTCCCTCAGCCGATAAAGCGAGATGAGCGCCGCAACCCCAGAGTCAGTCACGACTGGACCTAATGGTCAGGGGTCCCTTTACCTTTACTAAGTACATTGAACAATAGCAAACTATTGAGTTTGCTTCCGAGCACACATTTGAAGAAATCTCTGGCCCTCCAAATGTTGTTGGACTCCCACATCCATCAACCCCAGCCAGCATGGTCAGGGATGATGGCAGCTGTGGTCCGACAACATCTGGAGAGCCACAGGTTCTCTATCCCTGATGGATAGGATTGCACTGTAAGGTAGTTTTTGAAGGCTGGTTGAAACATTTTGATAATAACTAATATAATAAGTAAAATAAAATATCACATAGCCAAAAGTGATTATGTAGCATTAATCTTGCATCATATTGAGTATATGATCCTAGAATGGCTGGTATCACCCATGTGATCAAAGAAGGAAGAAAAGGACCCAATTATTTTCTTTCTTTTTTGAGAGGTGGCGGTGGGAATGGCATCTAGACATCAGCAAAAGGAAAATCAATGCTAGCAAGTGACAAAGGTCAACATTAAGTCAATTGTGGGACATATTTTAGCCCCTTTGAGATATCTAGTTCTGCCCTAAAAATCAAAACAAGCAAATATTACCTCTAAACACACACATTTCTTAGAATTAGCGAATCACTTTTTGATTACACCGTAGCTAATATTTGGATTGTGCAGAATCAATATCAGTGAAAAGAGACAACTAAATGCTGCTTAATGGCCCAATTATAATACTCTCCAAAGGCTCAGTGATCAGAGAAGCAGAGAATGTGGAAGGCTCTGATGAAGGATTTTGCTCTCCACTGACCAGTTAAGCTGCTACCATTTAATCACATATCTTTTTGCTCATTATATAAGACCAGAGGAAATAATTTTCTCCTGCTTTAAGCTATTAGTTTTCCCCAAATATATTTCAAACCTGACCAACCTGTCTTTGCACAATTAGGATCTAAAATGCATTTAACTTTATTGTTCTTGACACTAATTATGCCAATTGCATTTCTACTCATCTAATCTGTCTGCTGAAAATATAGGCCATGAAATCTCTTGTGAGTGCAGTATGTGACTCAGTACACAATTGCTCAATAAAAAATGAATGATGACTCATTCAGTATAAATACGCTGAAGATTCAGCACACTAAAAATGATTCACATACTTCTTGTCCAAACATATTACCTTTATATATTTGAAGAAAAAGATAGGAAGAAATATCTTTAACACATTCTACACCTACATCTGTGGTGATATAAATCTGTCCACAGTGCCATGTGCTTGAAGCTAAAGGAGCATAATTATAGCTGGTAGGTCTAAACTTAGACTGGCAGGGATTAATGCCTATGTGAATCTTGGTCATTTGTGTGGCACAAGCCTTCTGTTGCCAGTCACAGTACCTGTCAACTCTGGATGAAATACTGTTCACGTCCACAGTGGTATAAAATTATAGCTATAGAACTGTAAGGCTGGGACCTTCCTGAAGTACATTTGCCTAAGATGCTCCACACATTAACCCAAATCCATGCCACAAATTCACATAAATGGTCAACATTGTGTTGTATTACAAGGAGAGAAGGGATGAAGGAATCAGTCCTTTTCTGATCTATTTCATGTGTTCATCCAAAGTATGTTCCATCACGTTTCTGCATTAATTTGCTACTTAAAAGAACTACATGAAAATACAGGTGTTAATGTATATATTTCTCTCATACTGTACGTTGATTTTTATTTATTTGTTTATTTTTTGGAGCCAATAACTACATCAGAACATTTGGGTAGTGTGAAGTCCAATGGATAGCTATGTTCTTGGGGTGTGGGACATACAGGAAGTCCCACCCACTCCAAAATGATACTTCTGATTGTAGGCCCTTCTTTTCTTTAATACTCATCAGTGGAGCAAATGTTCTTAATGGACTTGTGTGGAGCACAAGGGTCTACATCTAAGTGGTTTTGGCGCCAGCAGACTTTCCTTTTATCTCATACAAGTGGGATGAATATCCCCCATTCACATGTACAGAACCAACCTGACAAAAGTCTTTCAGATAGAACAGTTTCAAAAAAATTATGGAGTGAAGAGAGTTCTCCACTTGTGGAGGTGAGGACTTGTGTTCTTGTATTCAACCACTTACGCAAAGTGCCTCGGCCCAGTTCAATCTCTGCCTTTCTCTCTCGTTCACATACACTAAGATGCGTGGCATTCTGGAGGGTCCTTTAACCCACATTCTGCTCATGGAAGTCTAGATCCATGCATAGGATAAGATCCAGCAGAAATAGTTTTTATGTAGCTTGCTCTGAAACCCACATATTGTTTCAGAACATGCTGGATTTGAAAAGTGATTCAGGTGGTGGCGGCCTATTATTGAAGTGCTAATGATCCAGTATTTTAAACACAAACACATTTGCACCAGAACCTCTATTTGTTGTGTCCTACCTGCCTCATTTCTTTGTAGTTGTGGTGCTTAAAATCAAGGTTGTCTGTTGTTGTCATTTCATTTCTTCTGTGGTAATAATTATTTGGGTCTATGATAAAAAACAACAACAGGAGGATACAATGAAGAACCATGAAACAATTTAACAGTAAAATACTTTTAATCTAAAATTGGGGTCCCCAATGTGACTCTCAGACACCCACATTGCCACTCCCTCTAAAACTGAACTCTACCATGGTACCCTTGAAACCCACTAAAACCCTTTCCATTTCTTTGTTTTTTTAAAATATCCAGACATTTTAGATTGAGGAGATGTTAGTTGATAGCAGATACCAATGGGGGTATCAGAGAAGGGTTGCCTACTTTATTTGTACTTATTTTGATGGGGATATAAGTGTTTTGCCTGCTTTGGGGGGGGGAGGGTATATGAGCATCATCAGTTTCTTTTCTGTGAAATGGGTACCTGAATCCAAATGTGTACCAGGCCCAAAAAGGTTGAGGGGTTTTTTTTTAAACAAAAAACAAACAAAACAACAAAAATGGAGAACCTGTAGCCCATAGGCCCCTTGGAGCAAGCAATTTGACCTGCAGGGCCTTTTCCTCCAGAATAGGCTCACCTGTTAATCAGCTGGTATTACTTATGATAACTGCTGATTTGGGGGTGGGGAGGAGGTTGAATTCTGCATTGACTTTCCAAGAGTGAATAGGCACCTTCAGCCAATGCAGCAATCAACACATGTATTGGAGAATTCCCCAGGTACCATTTCAGAAGAAGTGCCAGCTTGGCCCTGCAACCGTGGGTGCCTGACCCCTTCATGGGGAATTTTGTGGGTGCTCGGGCACCCAGGGAGTTGGCACTTATGGACTTCAATGTGGTTATGGAGGAGGAACAGATGCTAGTAGTCATCTTCTGATCTTCTGATTCAGACAAGTAGCAGGCTGTGTGACTATATTGTTATGGAGACCACAGCTTGCCCAAGACCACCCAGCGAGTCCTGAGCTAAAGTACTATCTGGATCTAGGTTGCTATCTGCTACATTATCAAGTGCCTACAGGTGCATAATGATTCTCATTCTGCAAAAAATGTCATCCTGCCTTGAAGCTACCAATTCAATGACATACTCATAAATAAATAAATGTGTGTGCTCAAAGACATTTCCTTCTCTGCTTATATCAAGATACTTTCTTTTGTGAAAGTAATTTCCGGGTGGTTCCCTCCCCCCTCTTTTTTTTCTTTGTGTTCAATTTGTGAGAGAACTAGAAATAAAAGTACATTGATCCCTTTCAGGCAATTGCAAATCTCTGTATGTCATTCTGTATCCATCTGCACAGCAATATTCTGGAAACCAGAGAAGAATCTGAAGAGCTTTGTCTTCCTCCTCTGAGCCTTCATTATCTTCCTCTTCAGTCTGTTCCTGTCATATTTCCTCTTTCCTTTTTGAATACTGTTTTGCTGATTCTCCACTGCTGGGACTATGAACCGGTTGAAGCACACCCCGCCCCCCAAGAAACCTCAAACATTAATTGCCTACTTTTAACTAGCTCGGTGATTCACTGAGGAATTCCAGAAAACTTTCTGGGGATTCTGGGGCTATTCAATAAGGATGTTTCATTAACTTTATCCCAGACTAATACAGAAGAATTATTATGTGCTCTGAAAAAACATGTCCAGCACATCCCCTGAATCAAGGAAGACGGGAAGGATGCTTGCCATCAGACACAGTTGTTTTAATAAATAATTCAGACAATTCCCACTGGAACTGGTCCAGGAACTTTGCTATTATGCCAAGCCTGGTCTTAAGCTTGTCACTTACCTGGGAGAGGGCAGCCTAGGATTTCCAGCCTCATGCATATGCTTCCATCTTCATACCACGTCCTAGGGTTTATCCGAATGTAACGTGCAACAAGAGGTACTGGCAGCTCATTGAGGACTGGGATCTCCTTTTCACTGTTGCCTTCAAAAATCTATTTCAGCATACAAGCATCATTAGTCACAACACCTGGAATAAGTCAAAAGTTTTTCTCCCCCTTTCATAACACTGGGACTCATGGACATCCAAGGAAGCTGCGTGTTGGAATTTTCAGGACAGATAAAAGGAAGTACTTCTTCACACAACACATAGTTAAGCTATAAAACTGTCTCCCATGGCAGGCAGTGATGACCATCAATTTGGATGGCTTTAAAGTAAGGTAAAGGTAACGGGACCCCTGACCATTAGGTCCAGTCGTGACCGACTCTGGGGTTGTGGCACTCATCTCGCTTTATTGGCCGAGGGAGCCGGTGTACAGCTTCCGGGTCATGTGGCCAGCATGACTAAGCCGCTTCTGGTGAACCAGAGCAGTGCACGGAAACGCCGTTTACCTTCCCACTGGAGCTGAACCTATTTATCTACTTTGAGGTGCTTTTGAGCTGCTAGGTTGGCAGGAGCAGGGACTGAGCAACGGGAGCTCACCCTGTCGCGGGGATTTGAACCACCAACCTTCTGATCAGCAAGTCCTAGGCTCTGTGGTTTAACCCACAGCGCCACCCGCCACCCGGCTTTAAAGTAGGATTAGACAAATTCCTGGAGAAGGCAGCTATTGATGGCTACTAACCACAATGGCTATGTTCTGCTTCCACAGATGGAGGCAGTAATGCTTCTCAATGTCAGCTATGGAAATCACAGGAGGGGAGAGTGTTCTTGTGCTTCAAATCCTGCTTGCTGGTTTCCCACAGGCCACTGTTAAAACAGGATGCTGGACTTAGATGGGCCATTGGCATGATCCAGCAGACTCATCTTACGTTCTTATCATTAAATCTGGCCAAACAGAATGAAGAAACCAGAAGCATAGGATATGTAACTGGAATCCAGTATCAACTCTCAGATATGCCTTTTGCCAATTTCAGTTATTTTGCTCATGAGAACTTGACAAGAAAAGCCTCCACAGAAATTGAGGGAGTGAGTGTTACCCTTGAGACATTTTATTAAAATGGAGCTGTGACAAACAAGTGCGATGGGGGGGGGAATATTATGTTTTGCGATACTAACCATGTCTCCAGAACCATTTTTGACAGTGATCCATGCATGGCTGTCATTGCTCACCATGACTTTGTAAGACGTTACCCAGTCACTCCTAGAAAGAATCAAAAGGTTTTCTTTGTTAAGAAATGAATATTGATTTACTGACTCACACAATATTCTAGTAAAATAAATCAGAACAAGTGAAGTTATAGAAATGTAAATTTAGCAGACAATGCAAGAAAACCTAAGTTTATGAGACGCATGGGGTAAGAAAAGTAAATGTAGACAAATTCCTCAAGGAAGTTCTCATGCTGAAGCACCTTCAACATAAATGGGAGCTGTACAAGAGTGCTTGCAGAGTTTAAATTCATTTCAGTGGGAGAACTCCCTGGAGAAATTTTTGCCCATTCTTGTTTCTCATCTTTTCCTTTATCTTTACTGCAATAAAAACTACGCATGTCAACATAAAGTATATAACTCTGCTTGCTTATATACTAATGGCTTGCAGATGAAATGTTGATGTGTTCAATGAGTTGTTCACTGGAACATGGTCTTGCTTGCACACTATTTGAATTTAATGGTGCTAAACTCTAAATGAACTACATTTAAAGATCCACAGGATCAAAATTGCTTTTCCAAATCAGATCAAAATGTATCAAGTCCATCATTCTGTTTTCGAACGACACCCCCTCCCAATCAAATGGAATGGGAAAGGTCCATGATTAGGTCTTCCAAAATCTTTTGCTTTAGATAAAAGCAACAAGGGTGGGGTGGGGTTTGAACTGAATCAGCGCTCTTTCCTTCATCCACCATTTCCCTTATTTTAAAGCTCTATTCAGGCATTATGACCACAAATAAGTAGATTCCCCACATGGTGTAGATCACACTTCAACTCATAGAGGGCAGCCGCCAATGCAATCATCCCCATTTACACATTGCCCCATACCCAATAAAGGCCCATAGGCATATTTATATCCCGTCATTCCTTCCCAAGGAGCCCTGGGTAGCAAACAGATAAGCCATTTACTTGTATGTGCATCTGTCATCTACACTGCAAAAGTGAGATGGTCCTGGGCTACTATGGTTTGGCTGCTATTTTACAATTGGATAGCACATCACTATATCACCCCTTGCAGTTCTACGGGAAAGGAATCACTAACAAAAAAAATGCCCTACACTCGTAAATGAATGCGAACCTTTTTGCAATGCAATTTTCAGGCAGTAGAGCCCCTGATGCCAATTGGAATCATAGTAGGATGCAATGAGTTAAAGTCCCCTACCTATCGATTGTGTACCCACTACCCACCCACACTGACAGTCTGTGGAAACAAAAGCAAAAAATCTTGTTCACTCAAGGACAGAACTATGCCATCTAATTTGTCTCTCATTATACTACGACCCTTAGGTTCCTGAGGGGCAGGTAGTAAGGATAAATGATATAAAATTAATCAAAGTTTTGAACGTAGATATGTTCTCTGTTTTCTATTGTGTGACAGAATTTGGTCTTGTTCTTGATAGATCACATTGGACTAACGTAGCAAGATTGATCCCACTTAAATGAATAGGTAACTTCACCATTATTTCAACAATCTAGTATTTAAAAAAGAAATCTGCTGAAGATACTCGGGGGGGGGGGGCAGATTTGTGGATTATGTTTGCATTTAAAAGCTGGAATCAGAGGGCTTTTTATACACTGGTTTAATGCTTGTCACACAATCTTTTGACATCAATAGCCCCAAAGCCCTTTAAACAGTTTCCTAATCTTCTATCTGTTTAGAAATCTCTAAGGGCAGAACTTTGATAGGGTATTAGCTCGGGGGGGGGGGACAGAGTGGCGTCTCAAGTCTTTCTAGATGTAAAGTGATACAAAACAATGCAAGTACGAGCAATTTCAAAGCTTCATACTAGTTCAGTAACTAATCTCACTTTGTTTCTCCTTCCCTGCTCCCCAACCACATTAATGAAAATTATTGTCCTACCTGATCCTACTGCAAAGGTGAATATTGCTTTGGAGGCAATATTCCATCTAGCAGTGTTAGAGAAGAGGAACCCAAGCCAAATGCCAATTAAAGAGAAAACCAGTAGAAGAGTGCAAAGGAGAAAAGAAAAAGCAGACAAATCCCTTATCCTAAACATTCAAAATATCACCACTAATGCAGCACTACTGAATTTGTTAATGAATGAAATTGCCTAATTAGTTAAAAGCAGGGCAACTGGAATTTTTAAAACTCTATAAGCAGTGGCCAGTCCAGATTTTTAGGCTACCTTATATAAGCACTCATCACAATGGTATCAGTTCAATGCAACTTAGAACTACAAGGAACATGTAAAAAGCATCTGGCCATGTTGCTCATCAGTCTTAGGTATGTCTATTTTGGAGTCAGGCATCCTCGGAATAATAGTTCTGAAGGAAGTCCTGCTGAGTTTGATGGGACCTACTCCTAAATGGGACGCGGGTGACGCTGTGGGTTAAACCACAGAGCCTAGGACTTGCCAATCAGAAGATCGGCGGTTCGAATCCCCGCAACAGGGTGAGCTCCCGTTGCTTGGTCCCTGCTCCTGCCAACCTAGCAGTTCAAAAGCATGTCAAAGTGCAAGTAGATAAATAGGTACCACTCCTGCGGGAAGGTAAACGGCGTTTCCGTGCGCTGCTCTGGTTCGCCAGAAGCAGCTTAGTCATGCTGGCCACATGACCCAGAAGCTGTATGCCGGCTCCCTTGGCCAATAAAGCGAGATGAGCACCGCAACCCCAGAGTCGGCCAGGACTGGACCTAATGGTCAGGGGTCCCTTTACCTTACTCCTAAATAGATGTACGTATCAGAGTGCAGGTCTGAATATCCCATCAGGAATAAAGCATGAGATTGATAGTATATTTCACGGTGAAGCATTTGGGAATGAAAAGTAAGCACTATTTTGTCTTCTCATTTATTTCTCCCTTCTTCCTATAAATCTGTGGTCAGATTTACCTATTAGAAAACAGATGCATCTCCATGTTCTCAAACACACACAGGGTATGGCCAAACATACTTTTGGGAAAGCACATAGAAAATGTAAAATGTGTCACGTACGCAGCAGGCAAAAAAATCCTAACTATAGGAAGCTAGCAGAAGTTTCATTGTCTTAAGTTAAGCTGGAAAAAGTTGCCCCAGATCCAAACTCCCAGCAGGAGTGGGGCTACTGCCGGTTGATCAGGCCTGCGCCAGGCAGAGAGAAAACAAGTCTTTATTTTGACTTACACCACCATTTTCATATGTTCTGCTGGATTGCTAGATCATGTAACTGAGCTGAAAGGTGGTTGGACTGGGTGTACATCTGCCCTTGTCCTGTTTCCAGCAATGAGAGCTCCCCCCATGGCCCCAGAACACCCATTTCAGGAATTACACCAGCCTCAGTTCAGTCAGCTTCTGCCAAGTCCAGAGTGTTGGCTGAGCTTGGGTGGAAGATTTACCATGGCACAAATCCAGCTGAACTAGGATGAGGGACTTTAGCTGGTATAGCCTCAGCCGAGTCAAGCTTCGTCCAGCTCAGCCAGAGATCTGCTTATTCCAAACTTGCCCATCCTGGTGGATCTTGGGTTTGGCTTATGGTTAAAAATGTAGTTTGTGAAGTACAATACATATACATATACACACAGTGAAGTACATCAAACTGTGTACTGATCTCCTTCCTTTTTTGGGCAGAGAGATTGTGAGGACCATTTCACTGGTTTTTCTCAGGGGGGAAGATAGTTTCTCCAACAATTAATCAGGGGTGGGATTTACCATTAGGACAGCTTTTTCCTCCTCCTTGGTTTTTCATATTCTGTTTATTTGTGTTGCATCTTCTGACAGTGGTAGCAAGAAGTACTGTGTTGGCATTCTCCATAATAAGCAACGTCTTGGATCTTCCACCATGCTCTAGGACCTAATGTCATCCATAGGCATTTGGGAGACGTTGCACAGAAACATGGTGGAGAATATTCAGAGAAAAAAATCTTTCTTTATTGAGGGGGAGGGAGAAAAAGATAAATCATTCAAATGTTTTGAGGGGGGTGGGATGTATTTTGAGAGGTTTTGACCCAGCTCTGATTGCAGTTGTCTTCTATATCAAAAATAACTCACCCATGTTTATGTAAATAAGCTGCAATAAATAAAATCTGAAAGAGATTTTTCATGTAATTTTCAAAAATGAAAGATTTTTTTAATCACAGAAAACATGCTGAGGGGCTGAACTAAATTAGTTCAAAACTACTATATGCCTGTAGCATGCAAAATTAGGGATATGCATCCCATTTATGGCTATATAAAAATATAGGAGGGAAAATCAGCCATCTGCATAAGAATAATGAATTCATTATCAAGGCTATTTTTGAGCATAGAACAGACAGTTCAAATCTGAATTTTTAAAAGCTTAAAAACAATGTTGTCACAAATATATTTTGTGCAAGCATGAACTTTCATAATTCTGCACAAAAAGCTGAATCTAAAAAGAAAAAATATATTTAAATATTTAGCTATTTGACCAATTGGGGTCTTTTGGAATCCTGTTTGATTCAGATACTTGGTACGAATAATGTTCTATTTTCCGTTTGAGTCCCTTTTTTGTCAATTGGCTTAGCTTCAGTACATAGGAACAAAAGGAGCTGCCTGACACTGTGTCATACCAATGGTCTATCTACCTGAGTAATATCCACACAGACTGGCAGTGAGTTTCCACCCTACCAGGTGATCCCATGGATTGAACCTGTGCTGTTGACATGATCATTCCCAAGGGTCCTCTCTGGTGTCGCAGAACCCACACTTCAGACAATGAAGCAAACTGGGAGACAACTGGAACTCAGGTGGTGGAAAATTCACACCAAAGCTGGCTGAACACTTGTTAGGCTACATAATTCTGCCTACCAAATGACAGGGAAGATGGCAAAGGAGAACTACTTTGCTATTGTGTTGCAGCCTCAAAGAGTTGTTTTGGGCGGTCACAGTGGTAGATGGGCCTCTGGTGTACTCACAGGCATGCTCTGATCAGTTTGCATGGCACTTTGACAATAAAGCCATTAAATTCCATGTTGCCTCAAGTGCTGTGGCTGTCAAATGCAGCAACTTCTTATACCTTCTGAAAAACAGCTCTGGTGG